CACTCATCTTCCTGAGTTCAAATCCAGCCTCAGACACTTTCCTAGCTGTGTGACCCTGGACAAATCACTTAACTCAGTTTCCTCATCCATAAGATGAGCTAGAGAAGGAAACGGTAAATCACTCTAGTATCTTTGCCAAGAAAATCTCAAATGGGGTCACAAAGAACAAAACACCACTATAACAACTGAACAACAACAACAAAGCAAAGGGGAGAAGGGAACGGAAAGCCATGGAACTAGAGTCCCCTTCGGGGTTACCTGTCTTCATCCACATGTGAATAGTCCAGACACAACTCTTAGAGCCAACAAGACTTGTCCATCCAAGATTAGCCAAAGCTCTTTAGCCTCCTTCCTTACTGCATCCTGTCTTTGAAGTAGTACACTTGCTATCAATTGTATTATTCTCCTGAAGATTCCATATTGGTCCCACCATGTTGCTCTGGCCCACCACAATTCCCACTGTAGGCCAAAGGAAAAATCTAGTGGCTGTTCCAGTAATCACACAGGAAATATATCATCAAACTGGCCCCTGGACTGCATGAAAGAGAAGGGGTAGCCACTGTCACAGCATCCTATAAAAAGAACCTCAGGGACCTCTCTGAAACTTAGAACCTAAACTAGAGGGGTTCAACACCAATACCTGGTGGCACAGAAGCTTTAACATGCTCCATTTTTCCAATATGGTCTGAGTTCACTCTTCCTTAGGTTGTTTGGGGGCCCTCTACTCCTAAGGGCTCACCAATCAGCATCAGCCCTGCTACAGCTCAGGACTTTGGAACACAGTCTATGCACTGGCTTTAACCTTCCCTGTAGCAGGGACAACAATATCTCCACCCAAAGGAAAACATTTTGTAACCTTAAAAGATGAGAGAGGGATCTTATTATTATATATGTATTATATATATCTTATTATTGTAAGAGGCCCTGTTAGCTGGGCCCAGATGAGTGGAACCAGCCTAGAGGGAAGCATACAGCCATGATGGAATAAGGACAAAGCTGTAGGCAGGGGGTCTCTGAGACAGTCACTGACACAGTAACAACTACAGATCAGATCATCTTTGTGTGAGGACACAGCAGAGAAAGGGCTGTTGGTTTCACACTGGTCTTTGCTAACACACCCGAATCCCTAGATAGAAGATTTATGGTCTGTTATACAGCTGCAAGATTTGGTCAGAGATGGTGATACTATCTTCCCCCATCATGTTCCCCAGGCTGGCCCATACTGAAATTTGATAAGGGGAATGACCATATCACAAGGTCCTCTTGAAAAACAGTCTAAAGATAATAAGCTTGACACAATCCATTAGGAAATGAGAAAGGCAAAAGGGACTGGTGGCCAAACTAACTGACTTGCTTCTAGAGGGGAGAGGATCAGGGAAGTAATGAAACCTAAAAGAGCTATCTTCCCTGGAAGGTCTCTATAACAGGAGAGCTGAGAAAATACACCATAAATGCCTTCCCTCTCCCTATTGAGGTATAGGAGGCTATCTGCTCTCTACCCACCATTCACCTGACTTCATTGTCAGATCATGGAGTCTTCTTCAAGGCCTGCAGAGACAGGCCTTGCCTTCTTCAAAGACCAGGGCCTATCTAGCCCAGTTCAAGCAGTGGGACTGAATAGAGAAGGCAGACTTCTGTGTTAGGACAAAGCTAGAATCTTTATGTCATGTGTCTATAATTTATCAACCTGTATAGGGTCAAGAGACCCTTCCTTGTAGGAAAATAATTCTTGTACATTAGATGGTTGGCTGAGTTTATGGTGACTGGAAAGATTTACTGCAGAGACAATGTGTCATCAAGGGGATAAGATGGATCCTATGATCTAAATCTAAAGAGGAGAATCTTATTCTACGTCTCGGACGTTTGTAATGGCGGCTTCTGGGAGGTTTCAGTTTGGGGATGCTCTTAATGTTTCAGTCACATCTTACATACCCTCATGTTTATCAAAATATAGTTTTTGTTGTTCTAGGTAAAACTGGTCTCAGAGTATGTATCTGGAAGTGAGTAATTAGTGAGGTGAGGACAAGGGAAGTAAGGGAGAAAGGCTACCTATTCCTGATGCCATGGAATCAAAAAGGCCTAGTCTTTTGGTCTTGAGTCCCCAATGAAAAATATGACTGCTTCTGCGGTTGTTAAGCTCTATCAGTTGTTATGACAGCCACAGGAAGTAAACTGAGGCTCAGAGTGGAAATTGCTTGTCCAGGATCACAGGGTTGCTATGAGGGAAATGTAAACCAGAAGTTGTCAGAACCAAGGACTGTATTCTTTTCATTGGACCATGATGGCCTGATTTGTGAACCCAAGCCTAGAAGTTGCAAGTATTTCAAAATTCAGTTTAAGGGATGTTAAAGAAATGGAATCAATAAGCAACAATGACACTGATTCTTCTGTAGAACTTCAGACCCCTATCGGTGGGTGTCCATAGTAAAACAGGCATAGCCAGGGCCACTTGAAGGAAATGTGAATGTTTAGCCTGAGAAAGAAAAGATTTAAGGGCATGATAGCTATCTTCAAGATTTGGTTCCATATAAGAAAGACTTCCTAACAATTTAGACAAATGTAGGCTAAATATCATGAATAATTTCCTAATAATTAGAGCTATCCAAAAGTACAAAGGGTTGCCTCAAGGACTTGTAGGTCCCCCTCCTTGGAGGTCTTCAAGCAAAGGCTAGATGACCACTTGTAAGGTATGCTATACTACGGAGATGCCTTTTGTGTATAGGTTGAACTAGATGACCACTGAATTCCCTTCTGTGATTTTCTAAGTTAGAACTATTCAAAAGTAGAATCCACTGCCTCAGGAAGTAATCCTAATGATGATTTCATTCTGATTCATTGATCAATCTCTTGTGAAGTTCATTAGTGAAAGTCAGTTTCTCAGAACTTGATTGCTTCTGGATAAACTGATAAAAATCAATTTTCTAAGTAGAAAAAGCCAAGGACCAGACTCAGGACCCTGTGGTATCCCCACCAAAGTGCAGAAATCTTTTGAAACCCTGCCAGGCCACAAATGACAAGGCTTAAAAATTTCTGTACCAATAGTAGCAAATTGCAACTGTCCTTATCTCTATCAAAACCTGGTTTCTTAAATAGTTATAGCAGCACTTTTTGTTGTGGAAAAAAACTGGTAACAAAATGAATGCCCATCAACGGGAGAATGGCTGAATAAATTAGGGCATATGAATATGATGGGATATTATTCTTCCACAAAAAATTATGAATGGGCCCAATTCAGAGAAACCTGGGAAAACTAGTACTAATTGATGCAGATTAGGTGAGCAAAAATAGGAAAACAAATGTATACAGTGACTTTAACGATGTGAAGGAAAACAACTTGGAGAGACTTAAGAACCCTCATAAATGTAATAAACAGTCAAATGGCTTCAGAAGCCTGATGGTGAACACGCTTCCCACCACTTGGCAGAGATGATAGACTAGAGGCACACAATCATGCATGAATCATGCATTTTCAGACATGGCGGGGAGGAGGAGGGAGGGGAAAACCACAACCTGTTGCTTACCTGGTACCAAACCTCTGTTTCCTGAGCCCCTAATACCTCAATTGCACTATTGGTTTTGACCCACCCTCCCCTTTAGACACTGCTACTGCCTTGACCCATTTAACTCCTTAATCAGTAATTCCACCTAATGAACTTGGCTCCTGCTTAAGACATACTGCTACTGCCTGACCTTTTCAATTAAAAGACATGTATTTCCCCTCCCACCTCACACCCCAAATAATCTCTGCTTGCATGTGCTAAAATTCTCCTTTTCTCAACACTCTTTCTCTGGAATGTCCCCACTGAAATGCAGGAAGGGTCTCCAATGCAGTAATGCTTCAGTTAGTATCACAGAACCCTTACAGCTGAAAGGGCTACAGTGTCCAAGTTCAGACCAAGATTCAGTATGCGGACGTGAGGTGAGGGCAAGGACAATTGGGTGGGTGAGTTGATGGAGGATATTTTCTCCCTATGTTTCCCATCATGGTTTCTAGACTCAGTGGAAACAAAAGATCCCTTCGCTTAGGCTCTTAGCCCATTTGCTCATTTGTCTGAATTATTTTTGGTTCTCAGAGGACTTGAGTAATACTGCCAAATGGTGATAGGGGGCATGTCCCTCGTCAGGATTCAACAAAGCCAAGTGAGATACAGAATGGGAAAGGGGTCAACCTTCCCTCTCCCCCACCATACAAACATTCTCAACCCATTACCCTCTTTCCCACAATTCCATCCCATCCTTCTATCTTGTCAGGTTTTTTTTTCCATCACCCTCTTCTGCATTTCTCACCACTTCCTCATTCCCATATTCTTCACCTTTATTCATCTCCCTTACCACTACAACTCTACCATTCTATCTTTTCTTCAACTAATCTTTTGAATGGCAAAAAGGGTCTAGTTCTTAGTATCTACAGCAGTCTGTAGATACTAAGCATATCTTAGTATCTAAGATATCTTAGATACTAAGATATCTTAGCATCTACCTTCTTGGGAGCTTCAACCTCATCTTTACACAGACAGAATCACTCCCTATAATAGAATGTAAACATTGTTGAGAATGTAAAAACCTTGAAAACAAGGACTGGTTTGGTTTGGTTTTTTTTTGGGGGGGGGGGGGTTGTTGTTATTTTTGTTGTTGGAGAGCTTAACAACCCCAGAGGCATTCATATTTTTCATTGGGGACTCTTAAGACCAAAAGACTAGGCCTTTTTTATTCCACGACATCAGGAATAGGTAGCCCTTCTCCCTTATCTCCCATGCCCCCACCTCACTAATTACCTGGCACATAGTAGGTGTTTTTAAAATGTTTGTGGATTGATTGGTCTATACCTTAGCTTGGGGACCCATGAGTCCTGGGTCCCCTCTGACAATGCCAAGGGGAGTCGAGAGCAAGGGTAGGAGAAACTATAATTAATCAGATAACTGGCTCTACCACAATGGAAGAAAACGTGACCAGGAAGTTCCTGTGGTCAGTGACCCCTCCCTCTTCTTCATGCAGCCTTAGCTACAAATCCCAGAAGGTGGGAGATGGCTAGAGCAGAAGCAGCATCTGCTCTGTGTATCCTGTCCAGGAAGATGACGCTCCTCCTTTCACTCCTGCTGACTCTTCTTCTATCTCATGAGGCTGGAGCTGGTGAGTCTCCTGCTCCCCAGAGAAACAGGGTTGGGTTAGAGTTCCACATCTACTCCCAGTAATACTTGTGGCAGTGCCCCAAGATAGACACTTCCACCTGGCAGACACTTCTGACTGGGCCTGGTCTCTTCCCAGAGAAGACTTGGGAGAGTCTCCTTATTCAAGTCTCCTCCAAGCTTTAGTTTCTCCCACTCAAGAGGGTAGCTTATGACCTGACTCTAGTCCTTAAATGGGTAAAAGTTAGGATTCAAGCTTGGAGATCTTGCACTATACTGAAATAGAGATAGATATTGTAAGGGATATAAGAAATATGGTGATGATGATATTTCAGAGTCACAGACCAGAAGTTATTTCCAAAAGAGAAAAAATAAGAGCTGAGGAACAATGTTTGAGGGAAGGCCTAGGGGGCTTGGGTTGGGTAGGAGGTGATGTGGCTGATAGTTTTAATTCTGTCTCCATGGGCCTGATGTTTTATCTCAATTGTGTGTATCTATATATTTGGGATATAAGCATTTGGGATGGGGGTCTGTTTCAGATGAGATCATTGGGGGTGAAGAATCAAAACCACATTCCCACCCTTACATGGCATTTCTGAAAATCCAAAAATACGGTTCCTTATACCACTGTGGTGGGTTCCTGATTCGGAGGGACTTTGTGATGACCGCAGCCCACTGTACAGGAGAGTAAGTGTCCTCATCCTCCTTCCCCCTCTCTGATACTCACCAGGTGAGGCACTCATTAAATCAAGGTCTGATAGGCACCCTCCTGTCTCCTGGGGGGCTGCTCACCTGGAAGGAGATCTATAGTCTGAGTGAAAACGAGAATGAGCAAGAGTATTCATGTTCCTAGTTGAGATCTGCCCTCTCTCCTCAAGGTCCACCCACCTTTAGTAACCGTCCTGCACCAAGTGATGAAGCTTGTACTTCAGATATTACCACCCAAGAGTCCAACTCTCTTGCCCAGTTCTCCTTCCCGACCAGTAGCATTCCCCCTGCTTTTAGTTATTCCCAGGGACCTTAGCAACTGTCCTTCCATGGAAAACTAGGCTCTGCCACAGGGTTCCCAGCACACATTGGTGCAATGAAGCTTTTCTTCATTTAATCCTTGACCTTTCCTCTGGACTTTCTGTCCCATAGAAGCTAGCTCAAGGGCAGCATGAGACAGGACAAGACAGGCCCAGTTGTCACCCTGTCCTCATCTGGGCAGGCTCCAACCCTTCCAGATGAAATTAGGGAGTTGTCTCTGCCCCCTTGCAAGCACTTCAGTGCTGGTCAAGGCCTGAATACCACATTCACCCCTGAGCACAACCCCCCTCCAGCCACCATGGAGATAGGGAGAAGAGGTTGGTGTCCCAGGAGTGAGAGTCCTTGAGCCCTATTCCTCAAAATGTTCCCTTCTCAAAGGATCTTGAACCCCTAATACCTCCCTCTTCCCTCGCTCCTCCAACAGCTCCATGACAGTCATCCTTGGAGCACATAACATCACAAAGAGAGAGGCAAGTTGGCAGACTCTTAATGTTGAGCATCAATTCCCTCACCCGGAATATGATCGCAAGAGGTTTAACAATGACATCATGTTACTAAAGGTGAGGATTAACAGAAAACAAAGGACTGGGAATCATTAGGTTACGGGCCCTAGCTCCATCTTGGTCACTGACTTAGCCGTGTCACCTTGGGCGAGTTAACTTAAACTTTCACGCCTTTAGTTTTTTTATCTGTAACATGAAAAGTTGAACAAAGAGATGTCTGACATCTACTCTTCCTTCAGTATTCCTTGTTCATATGATAAGGGAGGACAGAACAGCCTATTTGGCTCATCCTCAAAGAACAGAACCCTTAGCAATAGGCAGAAATTCCGGTGGGGGGGGCAAACTTCAGCTGGACGAAAAGAAAAACTTGCTGACAGTTGGATTTGTCTGAACGTGGAAAAGCCTCCTTCAAAGGATCATAGATTTAGTCCTAGAAGGGGTCTCAGAGGTCATGAAGTCCAACCCCTTTGTTTTACAGAGGAGGAGACCGTGGCTCAGAGAGGTTTGAACAGCTTACCCAGGATCACATACCTCCTAAGAGTTAGAGGCAGGATTTGAACCCAGGTCTTCCTGGCTCCAAATCCAACATTCTATCCACTACACCATGCTACCTCTCAAGATCAGACTCTACCAGAGTTCAAACCCAGGACCTTTTTCATGAAGTACCCCCAGACCAATAAGCCAACAGCCCAAGAAGTAGTGAGTTCCCCATCACTGAAGGTCTTGAAACAAAGGCTGGATGTCAAAGAGGACGTTTCTATTTGGGAAGAGGTTGTGCTACGATCTCTGGGGGTCCCTTCCAACTCTGAGACACTGTGATTACTATGTTTTAGGGTCTACATTCTATGAGAATTGTGTGGTCTGATAAGAAGCACTGAATTCTCAATCAGAAAACCTAGAGTCAAGCTTTAACTCCAAACACTTACTAGCTAGGTGACTATGGACAAGTTATTTGACCTCTGTGAGCTTCAGTTTTCTCATAAAATGGGAATAATAATACATTACCTATCTCACAAGAATGTTATAAGAAAAGCTGAGCATGCTGCCTGGGAAATAAATAGTGCCTAATAAACACTTTTTTCATTCATTTGTTCATTAAAATCACTTTGCTACCCATAAAATGCTATATAACTGTGAGAAATTATGATCTTTCCCCTTCCCCATTCTATGATCCCAACTCCACCTCCTTTTTTATTCCCTTCCTTTTCTCAAGAATCTGAAGCCCCTGCATCTCTCCCTGACCTTTGCCCTACTCCCTGTAACCTGTCCCTGGCACTGATAGCTCCTTTTCCTTCCTTCTCACAGTTGGAAGAGAAAGCCAAACTAACTATGGAAGTGGGGACTCTCCCCCTGCCCTCAACATTCAATTCTGCCTCACCTGGGAAATTATGTCAAGCAACCGGCTGGGGAATGACAGGAGTAAAATCCCCACCATCAGACACTTTACAGGAGGTGAAACTGAGACTAATGGATCCCATTAACTGCAAACCGTATAAAGCTTTTGATGAGAAACTCCAGTTGTGTGTGGGGAACCCCAAGTCAATTAAATCAGCATACAAGGTGAGTCCACATTTCATATTTCTCTTCTTTGGAAGTCATTCACTATCTAGGAGTCAGAATCCTCCTAAGAAAAGTTGAGGTCAACATTTTCCACTGGGTCCAGGACTTGGGCGTGGGGGGGGTGGGGGGAGAGGGTGTTAAATTAGATCTGAGAGTAGAAAATATTCCAAATCCCCAAACCCAAGCCCCATTTCCCTAGTACTTGAGGGTGGGAATTGAAGTGTCCAACCTCAGACTCATCCCCACCTCCACCCCAGAATCCTACTTAGAATTTCAAAGGGATGCTGGTAGGAGGGAGGGAATGAGGGCTAGGTGGGAAGATGAAGCTGGATATGAGCCAAGAAGAGAATCAGTGCTGGAGCTTACGAACCCAGGAGGGTTCATGATTTCTGGACCCAACTCAGAAAGAGCCCAGGGCTGAGTGGGGCAGGGTAAGGTCAACCTTTCTTTGTCAACCTTCCCCTTTGTCTAATAGGGAGATTCTGGAGGACCCCTCATTTGTTCTGGTGTGGCCCAAGGCATTGTCTCCTATGGACGAACAGATTCACTACCTCTTTCAGTCTTCACTCGAATTGCTCATTATCGCCCCTGGATCAATCAAATCCTAAAATCAAATTAGCTCTTCGGCCTTGGCTAAGCCAAAAGGAGTTTCCATCTAGGACGGAGCCATCCTCTCTGACTCCCTCACACTAAGACTGCCCCAGTGTCTGCCCAGCCTCACCCCCAAGCCTAAAATAGGGGTGGAGTGATGAGGGATAAAAATAGGGGAGTAAAGAGTATTAAACTGGACATTGAACTGAAGGCTGACTATGACTTCAATAAATCTAAGCTTCCAGGCTTGTGTGCATGATTCCTCTCTACCATTCTCTTCTATTGTAGTCCCCTGCTCCTCTCTCCAAGGTAGTCAGCATTGTAGTAAAGGACCTCATTGAAAAGAGTGAGTCAGTATTTACAGTTTTTGACTGTAAGTAAACAGTCCTCGTTCTTATTTGGCTTTTCCTAATGATTGTTCACTTGATTAGGTTTTAATTGGACACCATTAAGAATGTTGTCCTTATTTTGGGGAAGCAAAAAAAGAATGTAAGGTCTTCACATAATAGGCCAGTGAGCTTCACTACAGTTTCTAGCAAAATTCTGCCATATATTATTTTTTAAAATCATTTGTGAACATTTTGAAAAAGATGCAAGGCTTTTATTTATTTTTCTTTTTTATTCTTTGTTGTAAGAAATGGTCTTCTAGGATGAATGTGGGGGAAGGATATATTTGGAAATAAAAATAAAAAAAACCCAAAAGACATAAATAAAAAAAATTTTAAGAAAAGAAAAAAATTAAAGGGAAGTAGACTTCCATAAGAGTCAATAGGGGTTCATCAAGAATAGCTCATTCTAGACTATCATTAGTTCCCTTTTATGATTGGGTTATTAGACTGATAGAGAAGAGGAAAGCCATAGGTTTGGATTTCATCAAGACTATTGACAGTGATAGGATCATAGAATTTAAAGCTGAAAGGGATCTGAGAGATCATCTAATCCAACTCCCTCATTCTTTACAGAGGGGGAAACTGAGACACAGGTTAAGGTTAAATAATCTGCTCAATTTAACAAAGGTACTAAATAGCAAACCCAGATTCTCTGACAATAAATTCATACTACCATAATATCTCTTCTGATAGTCTTATGAATAAGATGACATTAATCAGTCAAATTATAATATAGTTAAATTTTATGTTAAATATGTTTAGAGTTAGTTGAGTGGTTAAACCCAAAGAGTAGTCATTAATAACAACCATCAGTCTATATTGATCTATAATGGAGTATCGTAGGGATCTATTCTTTGTGCTCTCTTGTTCAACACTTTCATCAATGACTTAGATAAAGGCATAGATGGCATTTCTACAAAATATGCAGATTGAAATAAAGCTGAGGGTAGTTAATACATTAGATGAAAGAATTAGGATCCAAAAGCACTCAATTGAAGAGTCTATTATCTTTATAAGCTTGAATGATGGGCAAAATCTAATAAGATGAAAAAAAAAGTGAAGGTTTGGGAGACCTGTAATTTAATCTATTTAGGGAATTTGTGGTATAGAAATTCCCTACACAAGTGCCAATTGGCAATTTCTCTGTGACTTACAGCTTTAGAGATTTTCCTAGGGCATTGAGAAGCTGTGATTCGCCCATGATCACACAGCTAATCAGAAGTAGGACTTGCACCCACTGACTCTAAAGTTGGTCTTTTATCCACTAAGTCATGCTGCTTCTCAAGATAAAATTTAATAGGGACAAATCTAAAATCTTACAATTACATTCGAAAAATCAACTAACTACACAGGTATAAGTTATGGGAGATATGTCTAAACAATAGTTTCCATGAAAAAGATTTGGGGAGGGCAGAGTCAAGATGGTGGAGTAGAAAGAATTTTTTAAAAAATCCCCTAAACAGATCTACAAAATTCAAATTCACCATTGCATCTTGATGGAGAAATGCAAGGCAATGTCACAAGGAGTCATTTTTACAGCCCAGGTAGGCATAGGGAGAGAGACAGAGACATGTGTGGACACTGGGGTCAGGATCTGTCCAGGAGCACAGGAAGAGGCTATTGACCAGAACAAGCAGAGGTACCAAACCCTTACCAGGACACCTTGATAAGGTCAAGAGACAACTGACAGCTTTAGCACCTATTACCCAAGTTAGACTGACTAAGGGACTTGTTGGGGGAGGGGGTGGCATTCCCAGGTAGAGAGGACCTGACTGATGTACCAAGAAAAGAGAAAATTCAGAAGCAAGAAGCAGAGGTATGTCTCTGAAAGCCTGCAGAAAAATAACCAGGGCAAGAATTTCAGACAAAAGGGAAATCCACATTTCTGTGTCTCTGAACCAACAGAGCTTCCCAGCTGGCTGATAGTAGCTGAGCCCAGCCACAGTGTACAATTACTTAGATCCAAACCGAGGTCAGGAATTAGCAGCAATCAGACTTTACCCCACATCAGACTACTCTAAGAGGTCTGAAAGTTTGCAGGTCCCCGGCTCAAGCTGTCCCTGAGAGCCTGGAATAGCACAACATTTAATACACCAAGAAAGCAGCAATAGGACCAATCTAAACCTTCCCTCCAGAACTTCACAGGGCCTGGCCCTAACATCAAGACCAAAGTCAGAAAGCAGGCTGGAGGAATGGGGCAGGGGGGAAGGTATCCTCTCTATAAAAAGCTATAATGGTGACAGTGATGCTCAAGATAAAAACCAAAAAGAAGAAACTGACTTCAAAACATTTATAAATAAAGCCTTAAAGAAAAACACAGCATAAACAAAAATTCAACTAAAATTCTTGGAATGGGTTAAGCAAAAATTAAAAAAAAAAAAAAAGCTAAAAGATGTTTTTGTCCATGAAATGACACTGCTGGGGGGGGGGGGGGGGGAATCAAGTAAGAAATGAAAACAATGGAAGAAAGAATTTGATTTGAAAGAGAATTAACAGTTTGGCACAATACTAGAATAGGCCAAATAGAATCCAATGACTCCATGAGAGAACAAGAAATATTAAAACAGAATAAAAAGACTGAACAAATAGAAGAAAAATAAAGAATCTCATAGCAAAAAACAACAATAAAGTCTGGAAAACAGATTGAACAGAAAACAATTTAAGAATCATGCTGTGACCAAAAGAAGAGCCTAGACATCATATTTCAAGAAATCTTCAAAGAAAACTGCCCAGAACTCTTAGAACCCGTGGACAAAGTAGAAATAGAAAAAAGTCACCAATCATCTTCTGAAAGAAACTCTCAAATGAAAATTCCTAGGACTGTTGTTGTTTGTCCTTCATTCTCAGAAAGGACCATGACATCAGGAAGGTGATACAATGACTTGCAAGTGAGTTGTATTTAAGTGAGGGAGGGCTATGCAAAGTCACCAGCCTCACTCTCTCCTCTGGAGCCATCTGGGTCCAGTGGTAAGATATAGATCAGGATGACTGGAGATGGCCCTGGATGCAATGGGAGACCTTGTCCTTTTCGAGTTAAGATCTTTTCTTGTCTCAGTTTGATTGAGGCAATGCCCATTCAGTGATTAAGGCTAGGTAAGAAATGAGGCAAAGAATAGCCTCTTTTTCCCAGTCAAAAAGAATCAATCCAGGAAGGAAAGACCTTCAAGGTTTCTGACCTAAACAGAAACAATTGCTATTTACACTCACTCAGAGCCACCAGGGTCAAAACAATGACCAAGTGAGGCTTGGGCTGCGACCTATTGTTGGCCAGTCTATGATAGCCAGAGGTCCTTAAGAAAGAAATCTAGCCAATAAAACCCAAGATATCTTGCTAGGTTTCAGTGATCAAAATTTACGATCCTTTGGGCAGAGCACCTTCAAGTAAGAGTATGATACTCTATGTGGACGGAGGGAGAAGAGGAGGGAAGGAAGGAAGGAAAGAAGGAAGGAAGGAAAGAAGGAAAGAAGGAAGGAAGGAAGGAAGGAAGGAAAGAAGGAAGGAAGGAAGGAAGGAAAGAAGGAAGGAAGCTGCATTGCCCAACTGGAACTGGCCAGTTAGGTCTCCAGTGGGGCAGTTCCTACTACTCACAGATTGTTGTTTATCCTTCATTCTTGAAGAGGACCATGACATGCAGAAGGTGATGCCATGAATTGCAAGTGAATTGGATTTAAGTGAGGGAGGGCTGCTCAAAGTAACCAGCCTCACTCTCTCCTCTGGAGCCATCTGGGTCCAGTGGCAAGATATATATCAGGTTGACTGGAGATGGCCCCAGATGCCTAAAATCCCCAGGAACATTATAGTCAAAACCCAGAGCTTCTAGGTCAAAGAAAAAAAATAGTGTAAGTATCCAGAAAGAAAGAATTCAAGTACTGAGGAGCCATAGTCAGGATCATACACAATTTAGAAGCCATTACTAAAGGAGTTGAGAGCTTGGAATATCATATTCCAGAAGGCAAAGGATATAGGCCTATAGCCAAGAATAATTTATCCAGTAAAGGTGAATATAATCCTAACGAGGAAAAAATGGATCTTTAATGAAACAGAGGATTTCCAAGCACTTCTGATGAAAAGACCAGAGATGTGTAGAAACTTTGACATTCAAACACGGGAATTGAGAAAAAGTAAAACATTAATGAAAAATGATAAAGACAAACTGTTTATATGGGGAAATGATACATATAACCTCACTGAACCCTGTCATCATCAGGTGTCATAAAGGGAGTCAGACAAATCAAAGGAGTTATAAAGAGGTAGACCCATGGAAATTGAAACGGAGAAACAACAGTCATAAAACATTACATATTTGTAATGGGGTTTTTCTTGCCTACTCAATGGGTGGATGAGAGGATAGGAGAAGAGAGAGAATATGGAAATTTTAAAAATGAATTAAAAAATCTATGTGCTTTAAAAAATAAAGTGTGAAAAAAATACCAACTTAACTGTGACCACTTGATCAGCTCAGGAACTCAGGAGTTCTGAGACACAGGCCAGTGTTGCTACAACTGTTGTTTGTTTCAATTTCCATGGGCCTACGTCTTTATAATTCCTTTGATTTGTCTGTGTGACCTTGGGTATGTCTCTTAAACTCTCTCTGACTCAGTCGTCTCATCTATTTTGGCCAAAGATTTCCACTTGTAT